ACCAGGATATTATATGGAAGGTGATCTTTAGAGAGTGGACCAAGCTGTGGGTCAGAAGATTCAAAGTTACTGATACTTCCTATGGTGAGGATTAAGGCTGATCAGGAAATGCTTTCAGTAGTTTTAATAAATTATTTAAGAAAAAGAAAAAGGAAAGAATGGGTGGGGGAGATAAAAAGGAATGAAATGTTCTCCTTGCGAGATGATGGTGAAGACAGAGTGGTGTGTGTCCACTTTTGAGTCTTGTATGTCTTAAGTGTTGGAGCATTGAGAATATTTTTCAAAGCTGTGGTATCAAAGTAGCTAATGGAAACATGGGTTTAGAGGTTATATTGAATTCCATGGAAAGCTCTATGCAAGAGAAACTGCATGTTTGAGTGAGTACACATTTATATTTAATTGGGGGACTTTTTTGAAATGGAAAAAAATGTGTGTAGTTAAATGTGACTCTTACCCTCAATGTACTGCCTAAATCTGTTCCATCTTCAAAGACATCAGAAAAGCAATTTGATACAACTTGCTGTGTCGATATTTATATGTATATGTACACTATATGTATACTATATATATACACACACACTGTGAGGATCCTAAGTGGAAAGAGCTTCTCATTCCTTAGGGCTCAAGGACCTCTTACACAGGCACCAGTACAATAAACAGTATCAGACCAAAACTTGCTTTCAGGTCCTGTTCTCTTGCATAACACTGCTGTGCTTCAATATTGAACCAGAAATTATTTTCCTACCAGTTACACTCTTGCATTCTGGGGATTTTGACCTCAGTTTTATCAGCTTTAATAAAATGTCCGCATGAGAGATGCTACACACAGGCAGTGAAAAGGCAAAGAACCCTTTGATAGGCCATGGAGGCAGTGTTCAAGAAGCACTTCAAGACCAGAGAAAGTGCTTGTTCCAAGGAGCAGCCTTGCTTGTATGATACAGTTTGTTCAAGTGTGGCATGCTCTGTTGCATTGGTTTTAGAGATCTCTTTCTTGTGGGATATTGGAAACAATTAGGATGAGATAGTGTTTGTGACTTGCTCAGCTTTTTTAGTGCACACATTTTATTGCCAGAGTTGGTGTAAGGATTATAATGTAAACAAAATGGCTCAAGTTATTGTTTTAAATTAAGAAATATTTGTTTGCCTTTTAGGAATATTATGGTGACTGTCTAGACTTTACCTTATAACTCATCTTCCCCCCAGCCCCATAACTCACAGTGCCACCTTCCCCCACCAGCACTGAGAACTGAACCAGATATTTTTGATGATAGTTTTATAGACCCTTTGATGAATGTTTAGATGAGACAGCTACAAAAAATGGTTGGAGGTAAAGAAAGCAGATAATGTGTCAGTATGTTCTTATAATAAGGACCTCCTTAAGCATGTAGGTTTATTGTCACCAAAAACTTCTCTCAGAGCTTTGGTGTTCTGGAAGGTTCCAGCCTGAACTTACTCCTGGCCAGTCAATACTGCTTTGCTCTGGTATGAGCAACCTTTTTTGTCCAAAGTGGTTTCTTTCCCTTCCTAATGGTTATCTTTACTGTCTTGCAAGGAGCACTTCCATTCCCTGTAAATGCCCCTGCATCCCTCTCTCTGCTCTGTGCGCTGGTCTCCGTGCGTGATATCAGTGCTGGAAATCCTCCTTCAGGCTCCCACATCTCTAGTGCCTCCTTTTTGAATTGGGCAGCCTCTCTGATGCAGTGTTCCAGATAGGATTTTAGCAGTGCCTCTTATGTACTTCCCTGTACTTCTTCTCTCCATTGGAAACATTTCTCTGGATATGTTTCCCAGGATTACGTGTGCATTTTTCACAGCTGCATCTCAGCAGTGACTCACAGCCATTTGGTGCTAGGATGGGCTAGCACATCCAGGCCCTTCTGCTCCAGGCACTCATCACCCTCCAGTGTCTGGCTGGGACTAGCTTATTCTATATGTGTGATTTGTATCAGTACCTTCATCCCACTCCTGTGGCTCCAGCCTTTACCACCATGGTGCCTGTTGTATTAACAACTCAATACACCTTTATGTTCAAATGGCTTTCCAGCTTTGTTATCAGCTGCCATCATGACTTTGTTGTATGCAAACCATTAATCAATTAATAATGAACCAGAAGACTGTCGGGTTTTGTGTTTTCATAAGTAACCTCCAACCTGTCTGCAGCTTTTTCTTCTCGTGCTGTCTGTCGCCATCTCTTTTGGGCAGGATCTTTATTTCTGTCACAGTTCCTCTACCAATCTCCAAGCTTACATGTTTAATGTGATACCACGTGGCAAAGTATTAAATAATGTCTGAATATACAGATAGCTGAGAGTTATATTTATTTTGAGTAAAGTCCCTGCAGCAAACCTGTTGTGTCCTCATCCCTTTGTTGCTTCATGTCCCAATTCTTCTTGGTCAGTCTTTGCTGAACTCTTATGTGCTGTTGATGTGTTCTGCAGCCTATCTTATATGTGGCAACTCAAACTGGTTCATTAAAGTCCTGGCACTAAAGTCTTGAAATGAATCTGCATCGTCTGCATTTATAGAGGCATAAATATCATTGACTTTTAAATGAGTGTTGAGCAATTGCATGTGTTGGGTTTGTTTGGACTATTTTGAAGGCAAAAAGTTGCAAAAAGTATTGTATGTTTTTCAGATTCTTGCCTGGTCATCTCTTTTCCTTCTCTCTGATGGCAGCAGTGGAAGATGATTCCCTTTGTTCCAAAAACCAGCATACGTGTCTTGACATAAAACTGGCCCTGGGCAATGTGCCAGCCCAAATGGACTGGTAGCCAGTGGTGCCATTAGCTGCCTACAGACCTAAAGCTGAGCTAGGTGGGTAGGAGCTACCAGGGCTAACTGGCATTTCCTAGTATGGTTTGGTTTCAGCAACATGTTTGTACAAATTTGTCTGAAGTGGGTTGAAATTGAGCAGTTTTCCTGGGCCAGTATATACAGTAGGAACCTCCGTGCTTGGTCCTTATTTCTGTTCTTCTGGTAACACCATCACAGAACTCTTTTAGTGCCTGAATATTTCAGTACTGGTTACAGCCTGTGGCAGGTACCAGCTGTGCATCCTAATAAGGCACTTGTGTTTTCCTGCAGACCTTACAACCTGGTTAAGATGAGTTATAAATGAAGTGCTGCATGTGAGAGGAGCACTGCGTGTCCTAATGGAATGATGGGGTTTAGAAATCCTTCATGATAGCTTTTGGGATACATTACCTTGTTGAGCAGATGTTTGAAGAATATTTTTTGTTCAGGTTTTTAAAGAAAACCAGGCTTGCAGTCTGGTAAATCTGTGTTTCTTTGGGAATTTTCTCTTTTTTGAAGTTTGGTTTGTAGATTTGAAGTTTGATTTGTAGATTTCTGCACAAAACTTTCATGGCATAAGGCTGGTGAAATTAGATAACACACTTTAAACGAGCCACCTCTGGGTAAAGTACATCTCTAATTACTGAGACTAAATTATGTGGAAAGTGAGCTTGTGTCTGAAGTAAATCTCCAGTTCAGTAATCTAAAATTAAATAATGATTAGCTTAATTGCTTCAGGATCATAAAAACCACTCTTAATAAAATATAGGGATTAAGTGTGCGTTTTGAGAGTAGATAATTGCTTCTGCTTCATTTTCAGTAACTTCTCTCAAGACAGGGTTTGTAGGTAAAAGAAATACCTTTTGTTATGCTGATCAGTAAAGCTAGGAAAAGTAGGCTAGTTCTTGTGTATGCAACCCCTTGCTTCGTTCTGAATAGAAGCTGCAATTTGTCTACTAAATATGAGTTAAGAACACTTGTTTTTTAATTTCACAGATATGTGCCAGTCAGACCCTCTGAAAGCAATAGTGGTTGGTACCTGTGGAGCTGAGTGTAGTCGTATACACGGGAAGAAGGATCAAATAGGTTTTTCCTCAGAGAAAAGAGACATGTAATTTAAGTAAGAAATGTTTGAGTTAAAGAATTCGCTCCCCGGGTTGGCAGCTGCATGTTGTTTGCATTGTATTTTGCTTCTAAACAAAAATATTTTTGCCTTCATTCATTGAAGAATGTCTTTTTTGCTTATAGGCAAATGAGAAAGCAAATCTCTTGAAACATAAACAGTGGTACTTCCCTGGAGGGAGGAGATGGGGATTCTCCTGTTGCTCTGAGTGTTGCCAGGTGCCAGAAGTGGTCCCCGGTGGTGGTGGTAAGAAAGAAATCTTCCCCCACGTTTCTGTATTTGCATTTTGTCTGTGGCAATATGTTTTTAGGGGGGGAAAAAAAATGGGGTGCAAATCATGTTCTTTTCATAGAGCTGTATGAATTGCTGGGAGAGGCGTCAGAAGTCTCCCACTCGGAGAGTTTTAATTTAGGGATGGAATCAGCTCTTCAGCTTGTTGCTTCTGCTGTCTCATGTGTGCTCTGTCTGTTGGTAATCATTGCAGCAGGGACTTAACCACACGTAAACCTCCAGAGGAATCTAGAAATGCTTAACTCTCTCCTACCCCCTTTAATGTAGAAAGGGACTGTGGCCTTACAGCTCTTTCAGGACCTCCTTTATGGAGCTTATAGAAGTCTTGTGAATGCTGTCTCTGGGGTCATCTTAGGCTGCCTTTAATCCAGACATCTTTAAATTTTGTCCAGTAATTGCGTATGAAAATGTTAAGTATATCAGCAAACTTTCTACTTTTTGCCTTTTTTCATAGTCTCTAATTCAAATGGTGACAGGAAAAGTGGAAAGCTGCTGAGACCCCACTGACACAGCAATAGGACAGTCATTTTTCAGGACAGGAACTAAAACCCCAGAGTTGTTCGTGTCAGATCTTGACATTTTAATAATGATCTTTGATACCCTGCTCCTTCATGGGCTATTAGCTTTTTGTATAGGAAAATGATATTAATCTTGGTGATTTTGCAAAGACAGATTGTTGCCTTAGTATTCTATAACCTTTCAAGGTCTATTGTAGGACAAGCAGCCCCCCAAGAAACTTTGGTTTCTATGAGAGATTTCTCAAAGCTCAGATTCATAGGGCAGCCACAGTCTGTGTTCAGGGCATGTATTTTGACCCTGTGCGAAGTGACATCCCTTTAAAAAATTACTTTTTCCTGCTATGTGGGAAGTTAAAACATTGATTCCAGATCACTAGGTGGGCAAATAGCCACTTTGTGTGAGCCCCTAATATTCTTGGGTCAAAATTAGTTACTGCAGCTGAATCAGGTAATGCCTGCAGCTTTGGTGTGTGGAGGTTTGGTAGGTTGGTTCATTAAAGTAGCCTTGTTGCAGTGTCATGGTGACCAGCTGCTTTCAAAATGGGTTGTGTAAAATGTTTTTGCCAGGGCTCATTGGCACTCTTGTAAGAGCAGTGCCCCAGAAATACATGAAAGCCTGGTTTTATGTGTTTGCTGTTTTGTTAGGATATTTTTCAAATTACATAGCTGCAGTTTTTCCTTTCCTTTGTGGGTAAGGCTTGAAAAGACCATCAGTGTGTTAGTGAGAAGCTAAAATATGCTTGAGGGCAGGATTTTGAATTGTGACAGCTCTTGAACTTTCCAGCTCTTCTTCTGTTTGGAGAAGAGAGAACCTGAACTTCTCATACCCAGCCCTGCAGGCTGCCAGGCCTGATGCCTGTGCCCCTTGTGTAGTGTGTGCCTGGGTGTCTTATCTGGGGTCGTTAGAACATGAAAGGAGGAATAATCTGGAAACAAAACATTCCAGATGGAGTTGGTGGCCGTGCAGGAAGCTGCAGGTGTTCTGTCCTTCAGCCTTCACCTTCCTGATTTTCCTGAGGAGAGCCATCAAGATGATTAGAGGGATGGAGGAGCCCTCCTATGAGGAAAGGCTGAGAGAATTGGGTTTGTTCAGCCTAGAAGGGAAGGCTTTGGGGTGACCTAATTGCAGCCTTCCAGTACCTGAAGGGGAGCCAACAAGGAAAGAGGAACTTCTTCCAAGAGCCTGGAGTGACAGGACAAGGGGGAATGGCTTCATACTGAGAGCAGGTTTAGATGAAATATTAGGAAGAAATTCTTTACTGTTTCTATAGTTCAAGCAAAGAAAAATGTGAACCACATCAGAAAGCCAGTTACATTCTCTGCTTTCATAATTAATTTACCAATGTGGAGGCTGTGGTAACAGGGTGTTTCAAAGCCCTTAAGACAGAGGCCTCTTCACTGGCAGAGTGATGGTCTGGAAAGCTTTTATCAGAGATACAATCCCTGCTGTTGGTCTGGTGTGATCTGATTTTTAAGCTACGAGTCAATTTAGCACAACATGCAAAAGTGATGTTCTCTCCTATCTGTTTTTGATAGGGCACTGAGTTGAACACTGTGAAAACAACCAAGGACTAGTCTTCGTTAGTAGTCTAGAAACACTCAAGGTCTGGGCATGTTAGGTGTGTTGCAGCAATGGGAAAACTGTTCCACAAGGTGGAAAGTGTTGCTCTGAACTCTTTTGGGATGGGGCAAATATTGTTTCCATGTCCTTCACTTCAGTATGCCTCCTCTAACTACTGAGCCCACGTGGAAGAGGTGGGCACCAAAAGATCAGCTCTCCTTGTTGGAACTTTGTTTAGAAGAAGTGAGCATCACAGCAGTGGTTTTGGAAGCACTCAGTCCTCCCCATCTTCAAAGCTGCACTCCACTAAGCTTTACTCTGTAGAAAGCTTAGGACAAAGAGCAGCTGGACTGTGCTGGCTGTGTTTATGCCTAGGACTCAGCACTGTTCAGCCCTGACAGGGTGGTCACTGCTCTGGGCTGGCACTGTGACCACTTCTAACTGGGGATCAGCTGGTAGAAATCAAGGACCTTGATCTTCTAGGGGTGTTTATTTTGAGAAGCAAAAGCAATCAAAACTAAAAGTGCTTTATAAGAAGTTATAACAGCATTTGCTCTGGCTGTGTTTATGCCTAGGACTCAGCACTGTTCAGCCCTGACAGGGTGGTCACTGCTCTGGGCTGGCACTGTGACCACTTCTAACTGGGGATCAGCTGGTAGAAATCAAGGACCTTGATCTTCTAGGGGTGTTTATTTTGAGAAGCAAAAGCAATCAAAACTAAAAGTGCTTTATAAGAAGTTATAACAGCATTTGCTCTTTTATAATTGTTTTGAAAAATGACAATGTTGCCATGGAAGCAATTGTTTTCACATGTTTAAGCTGTGGAGGCCACACATTCAGGACCTTTGGCAGTACTTTGCAAAGCAGCAGAAAGTACAGATGGGAATAGGAATACTGTCACAGCATGTGTTTCAGGACAATATTATTATGCCCTAGCAGCAAGGCCAGTTTTGTATCAAAGGTTCATTTGCCCAATCTCTGTGCCTATGTCTCCCCCTGAAGAGAGTCTCCCTTTCCACCGTGGTTTTGGTGCTCAGGTTTAATGGCACAGGTGGTCTGATACAGGAGAGTGGCTCAGCCTGAGGCTGAGAAGTTGGAGTTGCACAACCAAATACATAGACAGCCCTCTAAAACCAGAACAAGCCTCACTCCTGCTGCAATGTAAGGAAAAGGACAGAGAGGACACTCAGTGCAGTGTGAGTTGTTGATGCAGCTGTTGTGGCACTGCAGGATCTGGCTGTGGTGGCTTGTTTTGCAGATATTCCTTGCCATGGCTTTATGAGCTTTCGCCGGGTTCAGTAAGAAATCATTTGGATACTTTAGATCTCTATTGCAAGGTGGGAGCAAAAGACCTAAGAATCTCCTCGTGCAGTTCTTTTGCCTGTAGTGAAGGTGTAGCAATGCCATTTGTTACTGTCCTGTGTGACCTGACAGGGAAATATCTTCACTCTGTATGAGTTTGGGCCAGTGCAGTGCTGGAGCATTTGGTAACATAGACTTGCAGCTCAGCTGCAGGTGCTGCTCTCTTAAGGCTGTTGGTCCCTCTGTGCCCACTGCTAACAATTTCTCAGCTTTACCAGATTAACTGGGTTAACTGTTGCCTAATGTCTACTGAAATTATCTATTTGCTCAAAAATTCTAAACCAAGACTGGAAAAAAAACCCCAAACCAATAACTGCCAAAAAAATACCCCAGCAAAAAACCAAACTCAACAGTTTAGCTTAAGATATATCTTGTTGGTGCAGATCTGGGATGAGTAATAACTGTAAAAACAGTTATACAAGCAAACCTTGAGGATATGCTGACCTCAAGCATGAGTTAAGAGTGAGCCTCTAGTAGGGCCTGGGAGCAAAGACTTGTGAGCAATCAGTCAGACCAGGCATGGGATGAGCTCCCAGTTGCCTGGAATAAATGAACTTACTTACAGGAAGGTACTTCTTATTAATGCAGTGAAGTTTCAATTATTCCAGTTATTTCAAAATCTGGTTTGTTATAGTAAAAAGGAATTTAAATAGAATGAATAAAAAGAAGTAGTTCATGTTTAATGGGCTTAAAAGTGAGCAGCAGAGTCTGCAGAATAAAGAAATAATTATACATTGCTGAATAAATAGCATAAAGGTTCATATTATATGTCTTGATTGGAGAAATATTGATTGTTTTAGATTAGTTCTGGTAATTAGAGCAGGCTGCTTGTTTGTTTATTGTAAATGGAGCTAGCCTGGTTTGCTAGACTCATTGTCTATAAATGTGTCCTATATTAACACATTGCATTGAACTGCAGGCAGTTTTTAATATCCTTGAATATCTGATTTTTTGGCATATAATTGCAGACGAGCTAAGGGTTATTCTGGCAGATAAAAATGAATCATAAGAGCATAAATGCTGCTTCTCAAACCACTACTCTGCCTGACTGAGGAGCTTCTGAAGAGCAGTGCCAAGCTAGCAGTGGTGACATCCAGAATTTTGAGTATGAGGCTTTGGTACAATGAACACCTCTTTTTACTTAATTAGCTTCTGATTTTTCAAATGATGGGGAGCAATTTTTGACTTGGCAGTCATACTGCTCTGAAATGCTGCAAGCTCTGAGAGAAATGGGTGCTCACTTTTATACCAGTAATTTCACATTTTGCATTTCTTTCAGTGTTTCCTAACTGTGCCAGGTAGCAGAAAAGAACCTCTGCTCCTATGATCTTGTGTGTCTCTGACAGAAGTGGAAGTGATACAGTGGAACACAGAGAGATGGAGAAATCTCCATGATGGCAGCTGCCCACCTGGCTTGGGTTATGATCTCTGAGAAGTCTCTTGTGGTCAGATGAGCATCAGTATTTATGGCACTTGTAGGACTGAAAAAGTACTCAGTGTCAGAATTTTTTCAT